ATAGGCTTTTACTAAGATATATATAATCCCTTAGGTTTCGAAACGTTCTACTTCGTCTAAAAATCTTCAGAAATAACTGTTACGTCGGTGCCCTTAAAATTTGACATGCAGTGCTCATTAAGTATGCTTATGAGAAGCCTCACCGGGCCAAAAGAGTCAATATCTCTTTCTATCGGTCATTCGTCGATCTTGTCATGTTCGAAGTCTTAAGAGATACAAGATTGTTTACAAAGATGTTAATGGTGGTTATCTCGAGGTTAATTTTCACAATAGTATTAATGGCGTAAATTTTAGATTAAAAAGCAATACATTAGGCAAATCGTTGGCAACGAAGAGACCAAGCTCATCAGAGCAAATTTCCAAACCGTTACCCGTAACAGATTTCTATTCGATGCATACATGGAATGATTCAGATCTATCCATACACCACTGTGTGCCTTTTAATAAATTGCCTCAATCAATTGCAATAAGTTATTATCCATCCTACTTAAGAGTTCCTCAAATAGCTCCCGCTTAAGGAATATGTGGAGTTGTTATCTGCACTCACGATTAATTTCAAAAATCCCACTAGTTCCGCAAGGATTTCATTATCTTCAGTTCAGTTTACATTAGTGGATATAGTCCAGGTTTTAGATGTTTTTATACCAACCATCAAAAAAGATGGGGGGTATATTGATTTTGTCATTCCGTTTGTAACACATCGAAATATTGATCGTAGTATATATATTATGGATCCTGTATGTTGAAAACACGATAGAGTCCGAACGGAAGGAGCTAGATAGTTGAAATTTTTCACAAATATTTCTTATAAGGTAAGGTTTGTTTGGTATTAAAAATGAGCAATATCGGTCCATGTTTACGCATAGCCCCCATACAAGTGCCCCCCGAAAAACAGCATTAACAGTCATAACTGTTTTAAAAATGCGAGTATAGCGATGAAATTCGACATAAAAAAGTTGCATATGAGCGAAATTTTCTCTACCAAATTTTATGAGGATCGGTTCATTATTGACCCTACCCCTCATATATGGTCCCCTCCAAAAATTACTTTAACGCCCATTACTGGCTTAAAAATAAGAGTGTAACGCAGAAATTCGATATAAGTATGCATCTTATGAGCAAAAATTGTTTACCTTACTCCCCATATAAGATACCCTCGCACATTACTGACTTAAACATGCGAGTTTAGCTATGAAATTCGATATACAGAAGTATGTTTCTTACAAGCCAAAATCACTCTACCGATTTCTATAATTGATCCTTCCGACCATATATGTTCATGGTTTAAAAGTTTGACAAAAATATTTTGTTTTAAAAAATTATCATTTTGTTAATCCGAAAGGAATATCGAATATCAAGCTAATGTTTATAAGGGAGCATTTCATTTACGGCTTACGGTTTGATATAAGATTCGGCATAATCGAATATAACATTCTTACTTGTTATACCCTACACCACTTTAGTGGGGAGGGTATATTGGATTTGTGCTGATGTTTGTAACATACAAAAATATTCGTCCTAGACCCACCTTAAAGTATACCAATCGGCTTAGAATCGTTTTCTGAGTCGATTAAGCTATGTCCGTCCGTCCGCCGTCCGTCTGGCTGGCTGTCCATGTAAACCTTGTGCGCAAGGTACAGATCGCAATTTTCAAGATAATTGGATGACCCAAGGACGAAGCCTATTGAAAATGGTTAAAATCGGTCCATTATTTCACCTAGTCCCCATAGAACAGAACCCCCCGAAAAGGGCTTCTGAGCTCATAATTATGTTAAATATACAGATATATCGATATATAGAAGTCTTGATGACCCTGCCAATTTCATAAAGATCGGGCCCCATTTGACCCTAGCTCCCATACAAAGTCCCCTTCAGAAAATTACTTGAATGTCCCAAATTAACTTATAAACACAAATATCGCGATGAAATTCAGCACAATAAAATATTATGTAAATATAAATATATTCACAAAATTTTATCGTGCTTGGTCCATATTTGCCCCTAGCCCCCATATAAAGCCTCTTTCAGAAAATTAGTTTTTCATCCATAAATTGCTTAAATGTATCGGAACAAGGGAATATTGAAGATAAATGCTTTATTATGAAAAATAAATCATATTTAATATTCATAACTGGTGTAGGGTATCATATGGTCGGCCACGCCCGACTATACTTTCTTACTTGTTTTTTATTGACGATTTAACACCAATTAATAATCAGATAAGTTAATCTGAAAATAAAGTTAATACAATGTTATTTTTCTTAGTTGTTTTTGAGTTCTACTTTAAACTTTGCAGTATTGCCATGCAAAAGAATAGAAATTGTCACCATTTGCTATCAAAACAGTAGATATTTTAGAAAAAAGAAGAAGTCAGCTGAGTGTAATATAAAAATTATTAAAATAAAATTATAAAAATTAAATTAGAACCAAAAATTTAACATTTTGAAGTTTTATACTCAAAAACAACTATCGAAGATTAATTTAAATTTAATCGCTAATCGTTCACCTAAAAATTGGCTGTAAAATACTATTATTAAATAATTATTTTTAATAGTTTTTAATTGATTTCAATTAAAATTTTTAAGTTATCATTAACAATATACACATATTTTGTCATTAATTAAAGGTATTCCCCGATTCATTGCATTGCATCAGCCTTTTCATATAAAATCACATTCATTCTTTTTAAACAGCAACATATCTATTGCATACTTTTGGGCTTTTTTTATTATAAGATACATCAAGCATGAGAAATATCTAAAGAAAATTGCGTCATACAATTTCAGCTGTTAAAGATGATGATATATTTGGAGAAAATTTTTAAGCAGAAAAAGAAATTAAAAGACATTTTAACATAACATCACCATGTATTAGTGAGAAAAGTTTTAACATTTAATGAGTAAATTTTTGTTAACCAGATTTAAGTTACGTGTTTTATTCTATAGAGTTGCCAGATTAATGTTTTCTGCGCAATCTTGTGTTTTCAAAAAGATTCCCCAAAATATAAGTAATCTATTGTCTATTCAATAGATTGGTCCATTGTCTAGTCTATAGACTAGTCCATTGTCTCGTATATAAACTAGTCCATTGTCTTGTCTATAGGCTAGTCCATTGTCTCGTCTATGACTAATCCATTGTGTAGTCTATGACTAGTCCATTGTCTAGTCTATAGAATAGTCCATAGTCTAGTCTATAGACTAGTCCATTATCTAACCTGTAGACTATTTCATTTTCTAGTCTATAGACTAATCCACTGTCTAGTCTAAAGACTAGTCCATTGTCTAGTCTAAAGATAAGTCCATTGTTTAGTCTAAATACTAGTCCATTGTCTATTCTAAAGATTAGTCCATTGTCAAGTCTAAAGACTAGTCCATTGTCTAATCTATAGACTAGTTCATTATATAGTCAATAGACTAGTCCAATATCTATTATATAGTCTAGTCTATAAACTACTCTTATCTAGTCTATAAAGTACTCTTGACTAGTCCATTGTCTAGTCTATAGTCTATTGTCTAGCCTATAAGCTAGTCCATTGTCTAGTTTATAGACTAATCCATTGTCTAGTCTATAGATTAGTCTATTTTCTAGTCTATAGACTAGTCCATTGTCTCGTATATAAACTAGTCCATTGTCTTGTCTATAGGCTAGTCCATTGTCTCGTCTATGACTAATCCATTGTGTAGTCTATGACTAGTCCATTGTCTAGTCTATAGAATAGTCCATAGCCTAGTCTATAGACTAGTCCATTATCTAACCTGTAGACTATTTCATTTTCTAGTCTAAAGATAAGTCCATTGTTTAGTCTAAATACTAGCCCATTGTCTATTCTAAAGATTAGTCCATTGTCTAATATCAAGACTATTCCATTGTCAAGTCTGAAGACTAGTCCATTGTTTAATCTATAGACTAGTTCATTATATAGTCAATAGACTAGTCCAATATCTAGTATAGTGTCTAGTCTATAAACTACTCTTGTCTAGTCTATAAAGTACTCCTGACTAGTCCATTGTCTAGTCTATAGACTAGTCTATTGTCTAGTCTAAATACTAGTTCATTGTCTAGTATATAGACTAGTCTATTGTCTAGTTTATAGACTAGTCCATTGTCTAGACTAGTCCATTGTCTAGCTAGTCCATTGTCTAGCTAGTCCATTGTCAAGTCTAAATACTAGTTCATTGTCTAGTATATAGACTAGTCTATTGTCTAGTTTATAGACTAGTCCATTGTCTAGACTAGTCCATTGTCTAGCTAGTCCATTGTCAAGTCTAAATACTAGTTCATTGTCTAGTATAGACTAGTATATTGTCTAGTCTATTGACTCTTCTAGTCTATAGACTACACTATTGTTTATTCTAGTCTGTAGACTATAGACTACTCTATTGCCTAGAGTCTAGACTATCGACAGTTTTATACATGTTTACAAATTAGATAAAAAACTATAGCAAATATATGGTATAAAATTGCAATTTTTATGCAAAAATCTACAAATATGGTAACTGTGGACAGCACCTTTCAATGAGAATAAATACTCTCTCAGTCTCTGTTATCAAAAGTTTATTTTTATCAAAACAACGTGTTACATACACACATACAACAACTTAAATTTACTTACACCTGTCGCTTTATGCAAAACAGAATAAACAAACTAACGACAAAACGTGATGTGATTTTTATACACGTGATATTTATAAAAACTCATTTAATATTTTAACAAATATTTACTCTCCGTTTCAATAAGTTTACATTGTGTAATTTTTTTTACATTCAACTGATTATCAAAATACTGTTACAAGTAAAATGTTATATTATTGTAAAAATAAGTTTTCACTGTTAAAGTAAATAAACAAAAATAGCGTGGTAGACAAAAAGTAAAAGAGTATGTATTAATGTGAAAATGTATACACTAGTATGTATGTTTGTATATTATTTTTATATGTATAAATGTACTTGATTGCTACAAGATGATGAATTTATCAAAACACAGTTGTTGGTTGGTTGTATATAAATTTAGTTAGTAGCTGGTGAAACGACTTAATAGATGGTGTGTTGTGCTCTGTTCGGTGGAAAATAAAAGAATAAAATAAATATTTAAATTAAAAAGTGTTTTGAAAATACTAAATACAATTAATAACAAATAAATTAATACTTAATACAACTTCAATTCATCAGTTTAAAATTATGACACATAAAGTAAAAAACATTTTTTAAAATAAAAAGATAATTACATACAAATAATTTGTATAAAACCAAGGTAAAATGAGAGAAAATAGTGTTGAAAACAAAAATTTTACAAAAAGCAATTCAATTAAATTTGCAACGTGTAACTTTAGAACATTTGTTATAAATTTTCATTTAAAAGTTTACAATTATTATTATAATTTGCATTTTAGTTAATACAGTGATAGAGAAAGTAAAATTTATTTAATTTTCGATTACATTAACAGTGGTTCTTGCTCTGTTATGCTAACAGTAGAAAAGCAATGTTGCCAAAGTGCATTAAGCAATTATTGATAAGTGGGAAGAAAGTTTTACTAAAATATTAAAAATTTCATGAAATGATAATTAACAATCAAAAAGTGTAATAAATTCTTTCAAAAGTTCAATATAATACAACAAAGTGAGGTTATTATCTTCTAAAAATAATTTCCCTTTCAATGAACTATGTATGTCTATATATGACGACGCTTTGCGATATATACGTTAAATTTAGAACATATGTATATACATATTCTGATGGTGGTTCGGCATAGCCGAATATAACCCTCTTACTTGTTTCACATTATGTTATTTAATTTAATTTTATTTTTTATTATTTGTCCGATACTTTTGTTGTTTGGTTTTGTTTTAATTTTATTAACTTTTTTTGTTTTGTTTCTAAATGTGTCAATATAAACAAGTCTATCCATTCAAGGTCATTTTGTAACTGTTTATGAATGAATTTTTCCCATGTTAATGAATAAAGTTAACAACTAGACTGTAGTCCAGACTATAGACAAACTATAGTTCAAGCTATATGTAGACTACCATAAAGTCAATAATATAGACTGTAGAATGGACTATAATATAGACTATAGACTAGTGTACAGTATAGGCTATGGACTGGCATATAGTCCAGTCTATAATCCAGCTTATATTCTAGTCCATTGTCAAGTGTATAATCTTTGTTTATAGTCTTGTCTATAGTCTAGTCCATAGTCTATAGTGTAGTCTTATAGTGTTGTTTATAGTATTGTTTATAGTTATATAGTCAAATTTATAGTCTAGTCAACAGTCAAGTGTATTATCAATGGTCTAGACTATAATATGTACTACAGTGTAGTTTATAGTCTAGTCTATAGCCAAGTCTATAGTCTAGTCTATAGACTAACCTATAATATAGTCTTGTCTATAGTCTAGTTTACAGCCTAGCCTTTAGTCTAGTACATGGTCAAGTCTATAGTCTAGTCTATAGTCTAGTCTATAGTCTAGTCTATAGTCTAGTCTATAGTCTAGCCTATAGTCTAGTCTATAGTCTAGTCTATAGTCTAGTCTATAGTCTAGTCTATAGTCTAGTCTATAGTCTAGTCTATAGTCTAGTCTATAGTCTAGTCTATAGTCTAGTCTATAGTCTAGTCTATAGTCTAGTCTATAGTCTAGTCTATAGTCTAGTCTATAGTCTAGTCTATAGTCTAGTCTATAGTCTAGTCTATAGTCTAGTCTATAGTCTAGTCTATAGTCTAGTCTATAGTCTAGTCTATAGTCTAGTCTATAGTCTAGTCTATAGTCTAGTCTATAGTCTAGTCTATAGTCTAGTCTATAGTCTAGTCTATAGTCTAGTCTATAGTCTAGTCTATAGTCTAGTCTATAGTCTAGTCTATAGTCTAGTCTATAGTCTAGTCTATAGTCTAGTCTATAGTCTAGTCTATAGTCTAGTCTATAGTCTAGTCTATAGTCTAGTCTATAGTCTAGTCTATAGTCTAGTCTATAGTCTAGTCTATAGTCTAGTCTATAGTCTAGTCTATAGTCTAGTAGTCTAGTCTAGTCTAGTCTATAGTCTAGTCTATAGTCTAGTCTATAGTCTAGTCTATAGTCTAGTCTATAGTCTAGTCTATAGTCTAGTCTATAGTCTAGTCTATAGTCTAGTCTATAGTCTAGTCTATAGTCTAGTCTATAGTCTAGTCTATAGTCTAGTCTATAGTCTAGTCTATAGTCTAGTCTATAGTCTAGTCTATAGTCTAGTCTATAGTCTAGTCTATAGTCTAGTCTATAGTCTAGTCTATAGTCTAGTCTATAGTCTAGTCTATAGTCTAGTCTATAGTCTAGTCTATAGTCTAGTCTATAGTCTAGTCTATAGTCTAGTCTATAGTCTAGTCTATAGTCTAGTCTATAGTCTAGTCTATAGTCTAGTCTATAGTCTAGTCTATAGTCTAGTCTATAGTCTAGTCTATAGTCTAGTCTATAGTCTAGTCTATAGTCTAGTCTATAGTCTAGTCTATAGTCTAGTCTATAGTCTAGTCTATAGTCTAGTCTATAGTCTAGTCTATAGTCTAGTCTATAGTCTAGTCTATAGTCTAGTCTATAGTCTAGTCTATAGTCTAGTCTATAGTCTAGTCTATAGTCTAGTCTATAGTCTAGTCTATAGTCTAGTCTATAGTCTAGTCTATAGTCTAGTCTATAGTCTAGTCTATAGTCTAGTCTATAGTCTAGTCTATAGTCTAGTCTATAGTCTAGTCTATAGTCTAGTCTATAGTCTAGTCTATAGTCTAGTCTATAGTCTAGTCTATAGTCTAGTCTATAGTCTAGTCTATAGTCTAGTCTATAGTCTAGTCTATAGTCTAGTCTATAGTCTAGTCTATAGTCTAGTCTATAGTCTAGTCTATAGTCTAGTCTATAGTCTAGTCTATAGTCTAGTCTATAGTCTAGTCTATAGTCTAGTCTATAGTCTAGTCTATAGTCTAGTCTATAGTCTAGTCTATAGTCTAGTCTATAGTCTTATAGTCTAGTCTATAGTCTAGTCTATATAGTCTTATATCTATAGTCTAGTCTATAGTCTAGTCTATAGCCTTGTCTATAGTCTAGTCTATAGTCTAGTCTATAGTCTAGTCTATAGTCTAGCCTATAGTCTAGTCTATAGTCTAGTCTATAGTCTAGTCTATAGTCGAGTCTATAATCTAGTCTATAGTTAGTGTACTGTCGAGTTAAGTCTATAATCGATTCTATAGTATAATCTTCTATATAGTCTAGTTTATAGTCTAATCTATAGTCTAGACTTCCAATGCTCTTCTACTAAAGACAAAGATTTTTGGATTTTATCATTATGACACGTCACCATGTGATAATGGCCAACAAAATAAAATTGTATCTCGATAACACTAAACTTTACATTTTTGTAGCCAGTTATTATAACATATTATTGATAGGAATACTGTTTCTGATAAGAGTTTACTATATTCCGTTTGATAGTCTTGGAACAATTGTAATTTTGGTAATGAACCAAATTTTGTACACAGGCAAAAGGGGGTTTAAATTTTAAACTTTAAAACAATAGCTGTGTTCCTTCACTTGTCAAGTTTGCAGATTTTAGTAAGAAATTGTCAGAAGTAGACAGAAAAACAACAAAACACATTGAAATTTTAGTACAGCAACGACTTGTTGTATAAATTTGTAACCCAGACGAGTACGGGAACAGATATAATATACATATATTGGGGTCAACCTATCAGATTGTGATTGAATATGAATTATGTTGTTAACAGTTAATACTTTATTAAAAGAAAACATTTGTATCCATTTTTTAAAGGTTTTTAAAATAGGTATACTTTTTCCTAGCAACTTTAATAACGCTGAAATAAACTTCTTATAAAAAATCCTCAATTATGAGTTTCATATTATTTGTATACATTTTTAAAAATTTTAATTAAAAAATCTAAAAAATATACCATTTGTTTGTGTAGTATGTACTTTAACTTCTGCGTATAAAATAAATAATTTTATATACAAATGTATGTATGTCTGAGTATTCATAGGTGTCTCATTAAAAAATGTTATACATAAGAATGTTTAAAATTTAAATAAAAATTCTAATTTTGTGTTTACTACGTCTTAAATATTTAAATTGGGGCCAGAAACCATTAAAAACGTGCTAGTTTTGTCAAAAGAAAACAACAACAATATAAATATTTTTTTTTTTAATTTTAATGAAAAATCTGCAAAACATAGATCTTGAGGTATTTATAATGCGATCGGTGGAATAAAATGATAGCTTTTTTCATTAACACTTCGAAATCGATATCTTTAAAATTTTAAAATTATTTCCTTTTAATTATAGTAAATTTGTTTTTAAATATTTCATCATTAAAATATTTTGCAAACAAATGTTAAATGTACTACTTAAAAAACATTTGAACTAATTGCCTTTTCTGTTAACATTATTATTATTGTTTTAAAAATATTTTTCTTAAAAAAAACAAAAAAAGTTCATTAACATTTTTTTATCAATTTAAAGATTACAATTGTTCAAATGACAACAAACATTAACGATATTGTCATAAAAAATATGCGATTTTTAAAATAAATTATATTTGATTCATATCGGTAATATTTTAAAAAAGTGATCTTGCAGTAGAATCAATAAGAAAATCTTTAGACTTCAAAACTAAAGATATTCTAAAAGAAATTCCTTAAAGGCAAACGATTTTGTATAAAAAAAACTTCGAGGCAAACGATTTTGTATCAGAAAATCTACTGGGTAAATGACTTTCAAGAAAATCTATACTAAATGATGAGTATATATAATTCGACTAATTTATAAAACCAACCAGATGTGTTATTTAATAAAATTATCAGCAATGTTATTGCTCAGCAAGTAACAGTGGAAAATGAGGCTATGTCGAATTTTATATACCCCTTACCAAATAAATAAAAAATAAATAAAAATAAAATATTTTTAAGTTCTGTAAATTCTTTTTTTAACAGATTTTTTTAAAGAAACAAATCGTAGCTTATACTATATTTTTGGATATATCTTGAACAAATAGTCTAGTCTATAGTCTAGTCTATAGTCTAGTCTATAGTTTAGTCTATAGTCTAGTCTATAGTTAGTCTATAGTTTAGTCTATAGTCTAGTCTATTAGTCTAGTCTATAGTCTAGTCTATAGTCTAGTCTATAGTCTAGTCTATAGTCTAGTCTATAGTCTAGTCTATAGTCTAGTATAGTCTGTCTAGTTCTAGTCTATTAGTCTAGTCTATAGTCTATAGTCTAGTCTATAGTCT